CTACAAAAGCAAGCAACAGAAAGACCTCATCTCTCAGGCTTGGTCCTGGTTTCCTCTCCAAGAGCCCCAGGAACAGATACTCACCTCACAAGGCTGTTGAGGAATGGAAGGAGATGCTCTTTTTGAAAGTAAGTGCCTTCCATACTGCCTGGCTCGCAGCAAGCAACCCTTACAATGGAATGCCACTGGGAAACAGTCAAACAGTCTCAAACTCACTAGTAGGGTAAATATACATCTCTCTAAGCACAGGCCACTTAAGTCTTGCTGTCCCAGGGTAATTCTTTTTATTCTCAAAAGTATCTCAGCATGGATGAAAAATTATTATCCTGCAACTTTTAGTAACAAGCCCTCAAATGATGTTTTTTCAGCTATCTTGACCACCAGAACAAAGCACCCCCTACCCCAAACACCTGTAGGGTTAATTAAGTGGATCAAGAATGGCAGTAGGGGCTGGCTGAGTGGCTCAGTTGGTTAAGAGTTGGCTTAAGAGCGTGGGCTCTGAGCAACGGGGCTGCCGGTTCGATTCCCACAGGGGCCAGTGATCCTGCGCCCGAGTTGAGCTGTTGCTGAGCTGTTGGCAGGATGGCTCAGCTGGTATAACAACAAGATGGCCTGTTCAATGATGGGCGTACTGAACTCGGCACCTTGAGATGAGCTGCCGCCTGGATGGCTCAGTGGATAGGGTGTATGGTCTTAAAAACAAGGCTGCCAGTTCGACTCCCGCGTGGGATGGTGGCTTAGTTGCCCATCCACAACTAAGATTGAACATAGCACCTTGAGCTTAGAGGCCATGAGCTGCCAGTAGGAAGCCAGATGGTGACTGGTGCCCTCCACAATGAAGACTGAACAACAACTTGGCTGGTCCCCTTGCCCAATTCCCCAATAAAATCTTAAAAAAAAAAAAAAAGAATGGGCTGTAGATGGCTCCAGCTGATGTTGGACAACACCTCAACCCTGGGGTGGCTGAAGACCTTGGATGGCACCACCTTCCCAGGTCTTGTGCAAGCCCGGAAGCCATGTGACTTATGTGCACATGTGAACACATCTTGTCCAAATCCAGGTCAGAGGGTCATGGAGAAGCCCAGCCTCCGCTGGGTCTCTTGGCAGAATATCTAGATGTTCTCAGTGCTTTCTATGGGTGAGTATACTGTCTTGGTGGTGTTTGTCCCATCCTCCTCTCCCCATCTTTGCTGGTAATGCTAGGTTATCTTGATGACCAGACTAAATAAGTTACTGGCCTGGTAGAGACAGATAACAAAGTGTGCACTGCAGGCATGAGTTCTTCCTGGCACCCAGCATTCGTAAAACATTAACGGGAAGTCTGTATAGGCTTTTGTTTTACAGGTGAGGGAAACTGGTGCTTGTGAAAAATCAGTCTGGCAATACCTAGAGTTGGGAACTGTGAGGAACAGGAACCCTCCACATTGCTGAGAGTATAGGTTGGTAAAAACTTCATTTTACCTCCACGCACTCTTCAGTATCCAGCAAAACAGAAGATGCACACACCTTAGGACCCAGCAATTAGACTTTTTCTGCTTTGCCCTAGAGAAACTCTTGCATGTGTCTGAGAGCTACAAAGATATTTACTGTAGTGCTGTGAGCAGTAGTGAAAAAGCAAAACCAACCTGCGCGTTGGTTAAGAGCTGGCTTGGGTCACCAGAGGGCCCCGGTTCAGATCCCACATATGAGGGCCAGTGACACTGCCCTCCACAGCTAAGATGCTGAAAAACAGCTCGACCTGGAGCTGGGCTGCTGTGAGTTGCCTGCGATGGCGTAGGCTGCAGCCTCTGTTGCAGTGGGTTGCCATGGGCTACCGTGTGTAGCCAGCAGCTAGCGTGAGTTGCGAGCAGCCACAGTGAGCAGCAGTCCAGAAGCCGGTGACTGATCTGCCTCGCCTGGGAAGAGCGCAATGCCAACTTGGGCCAGTGAAGCAACGTCCTCCACAACTAGACTGAAGAACAAAAGGACAGCAACTTGTCTGTTCGCCTTCCCCCAATTCCCCAATAAAAATCTTAAAAAAAAAAAAGATGAAGAACTAGATCGGTATGTGTTAACATAAATAACTCATAAACACCCACAGAAAAGGATGCATGCAACATAAAGTTATATTAATTTTAGTAACACTGTTCATGGATTGATACAAAGTATTAAAAGTACAAAAAAACTGCAGGAGAATTATACAGAGAAGAGCAAAAAGGAGCTACAATGTCCCTCAGGGAGACCCCAAGCAGGCACTATAGTGGGCTGGCAGAGCAGAGAAACTGAAACCTGCTGCCTGCAAAAGAGCTGTGACCAAGAGGGAATGCACCCACCCTATGAACCCCACACAAGCCTGGTGCTATGGAAAGGGAATGGGCATGAGACCTGAGGTTAAAAACTGGATTGGTTAAGTCTACATACATAATGGTGCTTGATCCCTAGATCCCCTGCCCCAACCAAACTAGGGCGGAGTATGAACAGCCATGGAAGGACTCAGGATTCACCCTGCTTTCTTAGGCAGTTCATGGAGTTTGCACAGAGAGGATAAGACAAGTGAGATGATACGGGACCAGGTCTAGACTGCTCACTGCCTCCCAGTATCCAGTGAGTACAATCCACACCTGTATGTGCCTCAACTCATCCGGCAACTTATTGTCAGTCCCTACCATCTCTCTACACATGAGGTTGGCCTCTATGAAAATGTGCGATTTCCATCCTTCATGACTTTCCCAATCTCCCATTTCATACAGTTCAACCTCACATATTTCTAATACTTTATTTACACCAAGCTATCAAAAATAAGCGGCAGATCTTGTGCGTCTTCACCCCGAAATATTTCAGTCCTTCTCTCCCAAGTGCAGGGATAGTCTATACAACCACCACTCATTTAAGAAAATCACCCGACAGATATTTCAAGGCTCCCCAGACACGTGCTCTCCTGTCAATTCTCAATCCAGCTGCCAATAGTAACACAAAATCTCTCTCACCCCTAAAATATGGGCAACTTCCTACTCCATCTCCCTAGTATAGCAAGTGGGGAAAGAAAGAGCCAGTCTACAGGAAGGGCCTTGGTGCAAGGTGCTGAGTCAGTGGCACATGGGCAGGTTTTTCCTGGAGCCAAAAATGCTTCCACTCTCAACGTCTGACCAGTTAGGAAAGAGGGCTGTTCTGACCCATCATCAAGGGAGTTACTGGAGCCAGGCTGTGTCTGGCCTGTGTTGTCGCTCACTGGGCCTGAATGAGGGGACTGCACCTTTCCACTGGGCAGTACTCCAGCTCCGGGACAAATGCCTTAAAAAGAGTTTCAGCAGAACCTTCTTCAGAACACCTTTGACCTGTCTCTTTGGGAAACGCACACAGGGTGGGGAATGAACCAGCTCCTTTCTGAAGCTCAAGGGCCCTTGGTCACCATCACCAGTGCCAACAGGACACAATTGTCCGTTAAGGAAAGGACGTTATGTTAGGAAAGAAAAGTAGCTTTGACCAAGCCAGACACCCTTCTAAGCCTTTCTTTCACCTTCTCAATGACTCTGCATTGATAAATTCATCTAGATCAGCGGTTCTCAACCTGTGGGTTGCGACCCCTTTGGGGGTTGAACGACCCTTTCACAGGGGTCGCCTAAGACCATCGGAAAACAAAAAGATATTTGCATTACGATTCCTAACAGTAGCAAAATTACAGTTATAGAGTAGCAACGAAAATAATGTTATGGTTGGGGGTCACCACAACATGAGGAACTGTATTAAGGGGTCGCGCGGCATTAGGAAGGTTGGGAACTGTCGATCCAGATGAATGCACCTCAGCAGCATTCACCTTGGGGTGGAGGTACTTGGGGATCAGGTTTTTCAAGGTAACAAAAGGTGCTAGGCCTCCCTTTGAACCTACCACCTTCCCTCCCACTGGGTGAGGGTTTCTACCTGGTCAGGTGGAGATATATGGAGCCTGGGCTTTTGTACTTCCCCCTGTGTCTGTCAGCTTCCTTGTGCCCAGAGAAGGGGTTGACCTAGGCCCACTAAGAAGGGGCAAATCCACCTCAGATTTATACCTGGACTGCCTGCCGGCTGAGCTCTTCAAACTCAGTGGCCCCACTGTGCTCCCTAAATGCTCCCTCTCCCAGGTCCGTCGTCCGGTCATTAACTGAGAGAAGAGGTGATGCCCCAGAGCCTCCGCCCTGTTTTCCCCTCTCCCACACCACTCTGGGCCTCAGGCACTGTCGCCTTTCCACAGCAGTCCAAGAGCAGGGAGGGGCGTCCTCCGCTCCCTCCACTCCCAGAGCGAGGATTGGGGCCCTATACAGCCTCACAGCCTCCTCTCTGCTTAGTTTCTCCTCTCTTCTGTGGATTTAACTCTTCGTGTGGGTTCCACCCAGTTCCAGATTCCTGTTTTCTGCCTCCTGGAATTGTGTGTGACTGTGTGCAGAAAGCTGCCCGGGCAAACCCTTTAGAATAAGAAAACATCTAAAATAGATGCAAAGTAGATACTATCATCTCAGCAATTTACTGCAGAAACCGAGGCCCAGAAACCAACAAGGAAGGGGCCGAGGAGCCAGATGCTGTCCAAAAGTCACGGGGCTCAGGGCCAAGCCGTTTCTCGCAGGCTCCACCCTCGGATCTTCCCTGCAAACTTCCCCGTTTCTCCTGGGCGACCTCCCGGGCCGGCCCTGGGGTCACGCTGACCCGGCTCTGGGCATGAACACAGCCCTAGACAGAGCAAGGGCCCGCGGGCGCAAGCCTCTCGCCGGATGGGGGCTGGGCGCCCGTCTGCCCGCGTGAGGGTTGTTTTTCGCTTTTCTTTTACCACGGCGACTTTTAGGGGCGCACGGCCGCCACCCCTGCTGGCCCGGGTTTAACGACCCGAGGGTCCCCTTATCCAGCCGGCCACCGGGGACGGCGCCTGGGCCTGGCGCGGGGGCGCACAGGGCCCCAGTCTCCTCATCCCCAACCAAGGTCACTTCCGCCGCGGTGGCGCTGCGCTGGCGCCCCGGCCCGCAGCCCGCAGCCCGCAGCCCGCCCGCACTCACCGAACTCCGCCGCCGAGAGCCTGGGCCTGCCGTGGGCGAGTCGCCTCGGTGCCAGTGCCGGTGCCAGAGCAGCCGCCGTCGCTTCCCCGGGCCGCCCCCACTCCTATTTACCGCGCCCGGCCCCGCCTCGGGCCCGGCTGACTCATCACGTGATCGCTGAGAACCCGCGGCCCCACCTCCGACTCCCGGGCGAACCCGGCCCCCCCACCCCCACCCCTGGTCTCTGGGCTGGCTGCACCCCACTCCACCCCAACCCCGGCTCCCCGGTGAGCCCGGCACCCGCACCCCCTGCTCCTCCTGCCGGCCGTACCCCCACACCACCCCATCTCCGTCTCCCCTGCGCTCCTCGCGCCTCCCTCGGCTTCTGGAGATCCCGTTAGGGATGGTGGGGCTGGCCCGGGAAAAGGGGCTTCTAACCCTCCGGATTTGAGGCCTGTGGGGAGCGGAAGGGAGCTGAAGGTGGCCCTAAGGGTCTTCACCCAGCCTGGAAAAATTCCTCAGGGGCCGCCTCACACTGAACGTGGAGCATTCAAAGCCGGGGGGATCCCTACTTGGGGGAGGGGATAACAGACCCGTATTTCATTCATTCAGAAAACATTGCCAGAGTTGGGAGTATCAAGACAGCAGGACTCCCAGAAGAGCTTGCAAAGGCTCTTTTAGCGTTAATATTCTGAGAACGTGCCTATGAGATAGATACTCCAGCCATGTCATCGTGAAAACGGTAGTTGATACCACTGAGTACTAACTGCTGGCGCTACGTCTAGATTTCTACAGAGAAGGAACTTAAGAGCGGACATCTCTCCGCATCCAACTCCGACCCCGTCATTCCACAGCCCCTGCATCAATCTCTTCCACTAGGAAGTGGATGGAGTTTGGAATCTGCTACGTAGAACTGTGTGACTTTGGATAAGTGACTTAAACCTTCTCTTCTTCAGATTCCTCATCTGGCTAACAAAGATGGTTATATTTACCTCATACAACTGTGAAGACTAAATGGATGGTGTTCCATTCGTTCCATTTCTTCTTCATTTGTATCCCAAAACCCAGCACTGACATAGCTCTTCAAATCTGGAAGCTCCCTGGGGGACAGATTCATCTCCCACTCTGTCAGACCGTCCATTTGGGGAATGTTATTTAAGTCAAGCAGAATTGTAATTGGAGTTTGAGTTGTAACCAGCATCCCTAGGAAGCTTAGGCCAGCAGATAAGACATTTTGGAGGTCCCTTTGGGCTGCTCATTCTCCTTGTATGCCTTTTATGAATCTGGGAGATTGATCTCCTGAGCCTCTAGTAGGTAGAGGGAAGCAGGTGTTTGGAGAATTTCTTCTCTCCCCCTCCCCTTATGGTCCCCTATCCTCTCTTCACCCAAACCTATAGGGCCAGAAACACCTGATTCTACCATGAACCAGAATCTCCTGAGCTTCCTAGAGGTCTCTGACCAATGGGAAAAGGTTGATGACACCAGGAATCTCCCTTCTCAACACCCTCTTATTTCATTAGTCCTAACCAAGGTGAAAAGAAATTGGAGCCAAGGCGGCTGGGTGGCTCAGTTGGTTAGAGCGCGTGCTCTGAACAACAAGGTTGCCACTTCGATTTTTGCATGGGATGGTGGGCTGCGCCCCTCCATGACTAGATTGAAGGACATCGACTTGGCTTGGAGCTGATGGGTTCTGGAAAAAACACACTGTTACCCAATAAAAATAAAAAATAAATAAATAAAAAAAGAAATTGGAGCCAGGAAAACCTGGGTTTGAATCCTAGTTCCACAGTTACTTCACTTCTCCCAGGCTCTAAACAGGTTGTTATGAGGAATAAATTTACATTAGCTTCTGTACAGCGTGCACCAAACATAGTGCCCACAGATACGCACTTAGTGATGACAAAGGCCCTCCCATTTTCTAATGCCCGGATCCAGGTATATAGAAAGTTTTGGTCTTATTATAAAACACTGACCACACCAAATGTTGGCAAGGATGTGGAGCAATGAGGATTCTTGAATATTGTTAGTGGGGAAGTAAAAAGGTATAGCTACTTTGTTTTAAGAAACACTCTGGCAGTTGTTTTTTTTTTTAATACTAAATATGCCCTTACCCTATGACCCAGAAATTCCATTTTTATGTATTTACCCGACAGGAGTGAAAATAGATGGCCACAAATGGACTTGTACAAAAATGTTCACAGTGGTTTTATTCATAATAGCCCCAAACTAGACACAGACCAGGAGTCCATCTGTAGGAAGATGGATCAACAGGCTGTGGTATATTCAAAAATACTTCCCAAATACAAAAAGAGGTGAGATTACTGCTACACACAACCACAAGTTCAGTCTCAAAAACATTATGCTCAGTGAAGGAAACGACACAAAAGAAGTATACTGTATATGATTCCTTTTAAATGAAGTTCTAGAACAAGCAAAACTAATCAATAGTGGAACAAAAATTATAATAGTAGTTGCCTCTGGGGATGTGAGGGTGGGAATTGACTGAGAAGAGAGTCTTGAGTACTTTCTGGAGTGATGATTATGCTCTATATTTGATAAGGGTTTGGGTTACCAGGTGTAATGTCCTTGTCTATGCTTTGCAAATGCACACTTCAGATTTGTGGATTTTGTCATTGTATATATATTTTACATAAAAAAACTCACTGTAAGCAAATACAGCTGACTCTTGAACAACACAAGTTTGAACTGAGTGGGTCCACTTATACGTGGATTTTTTTAAAAAAAATATGGTCAATGTAGTTTTTCTTCCTTATGATTTTCTTAACAACATTTTCTTTTCTCTAGTTTATTGTAAGAAAACGGTATGTAATACAAATAATATACAACATATGTGTTATGAGTAGTTGACTATTTATGTTATCAGTAAGGCTATAGTGGGCTATTAGTAGTTAAGTTTTTGGGGAGTCAAAAGTTATACTTGGGTTTTCAACTGCATGAGGGGGCAGCACCCCTAACCTCCGTGTTGTTCAAGGGTCAAGCATACTGGATTCTGGTTAATGATATGGATACTGAAAGAGAAGTTACAGATATCTGCAATTTACTTTGAAATTCATTAAGATGATGGATGGATGGATGGATGGATGGATGGATGGATGGATGGATGAAGGGAGGGAGGGACATGTAGATGCACAGATGTGCAATAAAGCAAAAACAGTAAAATGTTAATGGTACAGTCTAGGTGGGGGGCATACCAGCCTTCATTTTAATATTCACTATAAAATTCTTTCAGCTTTGTGATCTTTGAAATTTTTCATAATATCATGTTGGAATAAAAACTCTGGTTTTAGAAGCATACAAAACAAAAACAAAATATAAGTGAAAAACCACTCCACAAAAGCTGTTCTTCAAAGATGAGCTCAAATATTCTTTTTTTCTTTCTTTCTGTGCACACACATCCTCGGTGTCTCTTTCTGTGTTCTAATCTCTTTTTCTTACAAAGACACCAGTCTGATTACATTAGGGCCCACTCTAATGGCCTCATCTAACGTAATCAGCTATGTAAAGGTCCTATCTCCAAATACAGTCACATTCTGAGGTACTGGGGGTTAGGGCTTCAAAACATGAATTTTGGAGGGAGACACAGTTCATCCCATAACACTGTAGTAGAAGAGAGGGCTGCTTTGGACTTTCCCAGAAGAGGTAGGTTATTTGGAAACCCCAGAGAAAAAACTGACTGGGGACATTCCTGACCATCTGTGTCTTAAAAGAGCAGTGAGCACAAAACAATGAAGGCGCAAAGGCCAGTCATTTCCCATAATGGATAATCTATTATGATCAGGGGCTCTTCTGGGTACTGGAAGTTAAAAGGTAACTTTGCTATAAACCATATTGGGGCAGGTTGTATTATATGTGTTCATAATCAAAGTAAATTTCCTTGAAGATAAGCGCAATAGTATTCATTTAAAAAACATCTTTGTGTCGTTCCTTCCCTTGGTTTATAATTAAGGTAGTATTCATTCAGGTTTTTATGTTACAAACCAATATCGTCATCATTTTTACATAAAATACTGGTTTGGTTACCTTGCTGATACTTGATGTCTAGAACTAATTTTTATACTGTTAAGCCATTCTCAATGGCAGTATCTACTTGCTGCCTATGGCTATAGTCGAGAGAGGGTAAAGTAGCCCCTGTTGAAAAGGACTTTCAGGGGTGTATTAGTCAGGGTAAGTAATACGAGCTGCTGTAACAAACTGACCTAGCCCCACAACAGTTACTTTCTTCTTAAGTGGGAGACCAGTGAGGGTTGATCGGGGCGAGGTGCTCTGTTTCATGATGCCACTGAGGGACCCAGGCTGCCTCCTTCTCGTGCTGTCATCTCCTACACATGGAACCTGAGCTCCCTGCCAAGGGGAAGGGAGAGGATGGGGAAACCGGCCATGTCCTCTTCCCCACCCTAACCCATGAGCTGTATGCAATGGTTTCACACACATCCCACTGAAGAAAACTCTGGATGTAAGAGAAATGGGAAACGTTGGTTTAGCTCTGTGGTTTAACCACAAATTCGTAATCCTGGTTCCACCATTTTCCAGTTGGTGACCTTGGCCTTGGGCAAGTCCATTAAACTATCTGGATTCCTTTTTTCTCATGTGTAAAGTGGCAGTAATGATAGGGCTGATCTCATAGGGATGTTATGAGATCAAGGAAGTGTCTTAGTCAGACTGCCTTAACAAAATACTTAAAGACTAGGTGACTTAGGCAAAGGGGGACAGGGGGGTGGGG